GGGGGGCTTAAGCACCCTTCGAAGGGGGGCTTAAGCCCCCCTTCGCCGAAGGTCCCGGGCCCAGCCTCGCTGATGACGCTGCCAACAAAGCCAAGGACTATCGCTTTGAGTCCCTCCACAAGATCTACTTTTATGATGCGTGGAGATGGACAATCGAGCTGAATCAGCCTGACTCCCTCCTCCGCCTTCCCCCTCGACCTGGACTCCTGCAAAATGGCTGCTGCTGGCAGCGCTTGCCATCGCGCAATGATGATGCCGCCCAGTCACATGACCCTCCTGCTAGGATGATCCAAGCCGAAGTCAGCCTCACAGAAACTAGCTCTGCAGAAGGTGAAGAAGATGCACGCCAGCCCAGATAGCCCGACCAGCCCTGCTTTCAGTGCAGGTGAAGGTGTGGACAAGGCCCCTGCCCCACAGGCAACAGCGCGGCCCAGGATACAAGGGCCTTTTGCAGTCAAGTCTGAGGTGGCCAAACCAGCCGAGTACCCACAGGGACGGGGAACAGAGCAGGGGATGATTGATGCAATCCAGTCTCGACTACACACACCGCTACCGCCTGAAACAGGTCTCCAGAGCATTGTGGCGGCAAGGTCAGCTGCAACAGCTGCCACTAATCCGCAGATGCCAGTTGTGGATACAAATGACCCAGAAGTGCACACATCAACCAAGGAGGAAGCCCCCGCAATAGAAATCTTTCTTGCGGAGGCAGATGACCAGTCGGGACCAGTTGATGCTGACATGGCTCCCCTGGGGCTTACAATCTCAACACCTCAGAAGGAAGTGTCCAGCCCGTGTGCAGCGTGAAACCCAGATTGACTGTTGGTGGAACAATGCACTGCCCTCCGAGGCCGGCCTGATCTAATCGGTATTGCTGACTGGACGAATACTCAGTGTTTGTCAATAGTTGAGTTTTTCACCGACAAGTGCAGGGGCTCGCTGCTAGTTGGCATAACAGGGGATGACCTGAGCGAGGCAGAGGTGGAACTTCTCTAAAGGACATGAGGATGCAGTGGTCACCATGTCCAAGAACAAAGTACTGTGCATAACTGGGCACACATCTCAGAGCCGCACTGCACGTGGCTTGCCCTTCTAGGTGAAGGGGGGTGACATGTTCCCAGACATCCGCAGCCTTCAATAAGCATCCTTCAGGAAGCGCTGTCTCCGAGAAGCCAACCTGCCAACAATTGTGATCGTCCACAACGATTCCAGCAGTTTTCCAAGCTTTGACATAGCTGACATAGTTGAAACTTCAGCCATCCATCAGGAATCGTTTTGAAGACCAACAATGGTGGTAAAGAAATATACTGAGGTGGATCGCCCCATGTCAACTCCTGAGTGAACTTCTCGTGCAGGCAAAAGGCGCCCTTGAACTTTGTGTCGGATGCGTCTTCCAAAAAGAAGGTAGCGTGCGAGCTGAAGGACCCATGGAGAGCACTGCCGTATATACAAAATGTGCAGAATCCAATGCGCGTTAATGCGCTCAAAGGCTTTGGAAAGATCCGCAAAGAGCGCAGAGGCCGGCGTGGTTCCTTTGAGTGTGCTTTGAACTTCAAGCACCGCTCTCTGTGGCTCTCGAAAAGCATTCAACAGGATTTGGGCCGGATGAAAACTATGACGAGTTGTCTGGAAGAGGATGGCAGCTGCCGTGCCATCCTGCAATCTGTCTAGCGTGTCCGGCATGCCTAGTGGTCGGAAGAAGTCCGCAGTGGGCCCCTGCTTTGCTTTTGGGATCCAGACTCCTACTTGCGTAGGGGGTGGGAGGGTGCACGACAGCATGTGACAACTTAAGCTGTCGATTTGCACGCGAAGAGGCATTACGCGAAAGGCCTGCAAGCGGACAGGCCAAGTCACAAGCAACTGCTGGCGCAAGTGCTCAAGCTGTCTAGCAGCTTCCAACTGTGCAGGTCAGGCCTTGGAAAACAGCTTACCCTTCACAATCGTTCCTAGTAATTGCGAAGGCAGGAAGAGCTGTGGCCGGGCAGCTTGCCTATGGTAGTCATTGCTTTCAGGTGCGCCTTCCGGCGTCTGACTGAGCTCCTTCGACCGAGAGCGCAGGTGTGCACATTTCAAGCAAGCTCCTTAACAGCTAAGCCTACGGGAGCCCTAGTTCTCGTCCTGTGTCAGCTCACTAGGATTGCACAAGCGTGGGCATATGGGTTTTTTCTGGGCAGTGACAACACCTGACTGACACTTCTCCTTTGTGTGGGTTGGAGAGGGTTGGAGAGGGCAGTCGGATTGTTTTGGCGCATGGTGAGCATTCTTTCTTTTGTGCTCTCCTCTGCACAGGCCTGCTCTGACAGGCCTGCCGCTACCATCCTTGTCGATTGCAAGCCAACGCGTCGCACAGATTACCTGCCTTTCGACCTTTTTGCCTTAATTCATTGCCCACCTTTAGCAGCAATTCCTGAAAGTTTCACATTTTCACGTTTTACAAATTCCATGTACAAAGTAGAGTCTCCTTGTTTTCGTTGGTTCCGGTTGCTGTATTTTGTTTGGGCCGCTGTGTTGGTTTTGTTTGTTCCGCTTGGCCCTTTGGAGACTCTACCTAGGAAAATTGCACAAGCTGACCTGTGCATCTTCTGCATGAATGGCGGCTCCACCGTGCAAAAGAAGAAGAAGAAGTGGCTGAACGAATGCGAACTTCACTTTTGCAAGCAGTGCCGATGAGACAAACAATTTCCCACCAACCAGGGTGTGGACATTTGGCCAACAGTGCCACGACCAAGATGCTCAAGCATGCGCTCATTGTGTTCCAAAAGCCATGGGGGCGGTGTTAAAATCTCCAGCATTTCCAACGGACTGATGGCATGTTTGAACACACAGGAGCCAGGCTGTGCACACAAGGCCCAAACTGAGGTGTCCAAAACGGCGCGCACCGTGTTTCATTTTTTGTTTTTTTGCTTCTGCTTTTGCTTTTGCTTTTTGCTTCTGCTTCTGCTTTTGCTTTTGCTTTTGTTTTTGTTTTTTGCAACTGCTTCTGCTTTTGCTTTTGCTTCTGCTTCTGCTTTTGCTTTTGTTTTTGTTTTTTGGTTTTTGCTTTTGCTTCTGCATTTGCTTTTGCTTTTTGTTTTTCCTTCTGCTTTTGCTTTTTGCTTCTGCCTTTGTTTTTTGTTTCTGCTTTTGCTTTTTGTTTCTGTTTTTTTTCTGGCCTAAAGAAACCCTCAAGACAAGGAACCAAACCCAAAGACACCCGAAACCAGTGAAACCCAAAGACAACCGCAAAAAAATCCCTATAGCAAGTGGGATACCTTTTCTGTTCCCTCCCTTTGTCACTGTCTCGCTCTCTCCGTCACGCTGGCTTTGGTGCTTCGTCCCCTGCCTGCCATTTCTGCTGCTCCTAGTGCTTGTAAAGCACTCCCAGCAGAAGCAAAAGCAAAAACAGTAAGGGAAAAACATGAAAATAATTTCCAGAAATCATCCGAAAAATTACCGGAACAAATCTTCATCCGTTCCGAACCCTCATATGTCATAGAGGTTCCGGGTATGGGAAAATTCTAACCAAAACTCATTCCCTCCCACTTGATCGCTACAGGTTAAACATTATGCCCTGCTATGCACTTGGCTGAAGCTCGGCCTGAGTACATGAAAGGTGTTTGGACCTGCCGTGCCGTGAAAATTCAATGTTTTTGACACAAGGTTGAGTTCAGTTCATTCCAACCTCATTTGATCAGGGTCACGGGATTGGAGTGCAATCGTGCTGAAGGCCAATGTTGAAGACACAAACCTAATCCTATTCGTCATTCAAAGGCAAATGAAATGTATGTGCGACGGGCAAAAAACATGAGAAGGCTCAAACAAAACAATGGAACGCACCCAAGTGGTCATGACAAACTCTTTCGAATCGCAGCCAATGGCTCTTGTTCCATGAGCAAAGCCTTTTGTTTAGTTTTTGCAATAGACATTTTGACCCACCAGTTGTCTATGGAAATCTTGAGTCAAACTTTTGGCAGAGTAGCAAAAGTCACCAACAGTCCATCAACCAAAGTCCAAACGGGTCACAGTCATATTCCCACTTGCAAGCATTTGCTGCTCTCCGCTGATGGTTGTGGCCGGATTGCGTGAAACGAGGCTGATTTGAAGCCGAAAACTATGAAACTTGTTCGTGACACGCTAAAGCGAACATGTACAAACGGTTCTTTCACACCATCGCTTCAGGCGCCCAGCATCAGCAACACAAGGCGAACCATTGGCATGGGCTGATGGTGCTTTGTTTGAAAACTGGAGCCCCAAAAACGGTTTGCGGAAGACGGCGTCGTGGACGTAATTTTTGAACCACAACCATCGAGGCAGTTGTGCTGCGAGGTTTGATGGGAAATCACTTCTAGACATGAACTGCATGGAGAAACAGTGAACTGCCAAGAACTGTTTACAATAGTTCAAATCCTGTCAAGAAACAAACCTCTTAACCACTATACTTGCGATGCAAATGCAGCTTATTTGAGCAACAATATGGAGTTTCATGAACTATTGCCTCATGAAACAACAGGATGTGGTTTGGCACGCAAGGCCTCCGGCAGTTTCTCCGTAGCCTTCCAGACATCGGTGATATCGCAGAAGGCCAATCTGAAAGACACATGTGGCTGTCAAGTTGACTGTTGATTTGTTTCTCAAGTTTTGAACATGGTGAGGGGTTGATCAATGATTCAATGTCGAATTCTGTAGCACTTCTTTTACCTGATCACCGGTCCATGTTGAAAAGAATCAGTTCCACAAAAAATGCGAGATACATCCTGTTGCAAACATGGTGCTGGTATAGTATTGGTATATATAGTCTATATCCTTATGAACTCACATTGTTTTGACCTTGATGTTGTACATTGTTGTGATATATATATATATATAAGACATCTGAAAAACCCTCAGGTCAGCACTTCTGTGGACGGCCGCAACGTGGCCAAGGTGGACCGATGTTTTTGGCACAGAAACGTCGAAAAGTTATGTTCGGAGCAAAAGAACATGCTAAGGAGCGGTTTGTTTGGAGAGCACCGATTGTTCTCCACTGGTGGACAGGGTCCTTGCCTTGTTTTTTCAGCCAATCATTTATCGTGACTTCCCCGCACGAGTTCCGCGGAACTTTCCCCTAGTCTATGGATTCCGGGTTGCTGGAGTCCTTTTTGAGCCAAAACCAGCCAGTGTTTGGCTGCTCTCTTGGAGAATCAACTGGATAGATCTCCAAATACTTCCAGTTCTCTCAGGTCGTTCGAACCATGCGGCCACGTCGTTGTCGCTCACGCTCCCCAGGCGCTTCCCGGTTCCGGGTCGATGCCCGCTGCACGGCCTCCGTCGCATGCCTGGAGCGGGCGCGGCGGGTTGAGAAGTGGGGAGTGAGGAGTTCCTTGACATTAAGGATATGTCTTTGTGCAACCTTTTGCGAGACAAAAGGCGAGACAAGCAAAAGATGTCTTGTTCCCTTATTGCCGCGGTCAGGTTGGACCTTTAAAAGTGATTTGTCTCCTCTCAACATGCTGGCAAAGCTGCAGGGATAGCAGGCAGCAAGGCCAGGTCAGTCCCAACACAATCTACTCAGTCACTGCTCAGTGATTTTCTTCCTTCCTTCGGTTATATGCTTAAATCATCTTAAATCAGGAGCTTTGGGTAGAAATGTGTTCACCGAGACAACGGTCCCATTTTTCACCTTCTTGTGGCACAGATGGCCGAGCGCGGCGACGCGGTGCCAGTGCCCGGAGCGCCCAGAGAGAGGTGTGCGCGAAGGTGCCCAGTGCCGAGGCGGCCAATTCACAGAGAGTTCTTCCCCCAAAAACCATGGTGTTGGCTCGCTGGTTTTGTGGATTCAAAGGTTTGGGTTTTAGGGTTCGGAGAGAAGCTCTCAAGCTCTTTGGGTCCGGACGGTTTTTTTCACTCAGCGGACTCCAGGCTCTCGGTTCAAGGGGTCGGTCCCAGACACGATGCTTTATGACAAACCACTGGTCCATTCCACCAAAGGCTTGATGCGCGAGAATAGAGTGTATGAGTGATTTTTGGGCATAGCTACATGACATACCATAGCATCGCTTTTATTATTCCACTGATAGGAATTTTGACAGCGAGTTCCACAGTTGCCACAGCTGCTCGTGTGTTCCACCTTTATGTCCCGAACGACCTTGAGAGGCTTTTTACTCCGACCTCATCCGAGCGGGCACCCTCAAACCTCAGGTGTTTGCTCCTCCAGTGCCTCCAATACCTGGGCACTTTGGAGCTGAGCGCCGTGGGTGGAGATGCCCTCTTGTGGATGGTGCGGTTGCGCAGAGACGCCACTTTGGGGAACGGCGGCATGGACACGGATGTTTCCTCAAATGAAAAGATAGATTGATATATTGGACATCAACACGTTGAATTTTGGTTTCCAATTTTGGACTTATGCCTAGAAATGTCTCATTGGACGTAGTTGCTGCAGTTGGGAGGCAGGGGCCTAATGATGCCTAATGTCTTGTCAGCCACGTGCAGATCACCTCGGCAGCCCTGGGCCACAAATTTCACGAAGATGGCCATAGGCATTCGAGCTGCGTATCCACCTATATCCACCTACACTCCCTGAACTAACGATGGACGTGTAGATGGGAAAAGGGCGCCGAAAGGAGGACTGCCATTTTCCGAAGACCAAACAGGTGGGGAAACCATGATTCCAGGTAGTGTATCTAAAATGACGATACAAGCTGCCGAGGATGAGGGTCTGAACTTGAAAAGTCAGCGGCTCAGAGATGGGCAGGTCTCGCCGGTGTTGGAGGCAGCACGACGGCAGATCTTGCAGGACCTGTTTTGTTATTTTTCTTTTTTTGCATTAGCAAGGACGCTATTAGGTGGAGGCTATCGCAAGTAGGTTGGAGGCCATCGCTACTAGTAACAAGAAGCTAACCTTTCTCTTTGGAGCAGCTTCTTCTCGTTGCAAGGACCATGCTGAACGCCGGACCTTGGAAGCGGAGGCCGGGACCTTTCGGCAGAAGGTGGAGAAGATGGCCATGGAGGCGTGGGACGAGGCTTTCCGTCTGTGGGACGAGGTCGGTGGGACGAGGCAGTTCGCAGGTTTTAGCCGGGCCCCGTGGACCGTCCTGGAGTTACATACCGTCTTGCTGGCGAAGCGCTCGCTTCAAGGGGAAAAACCGCAGGTGGAAGATCACCACAGTTGGCGAGAGCGCTCGGAGGAGTCGACCACTGTGGCGAGTTGGAAGGGTGGTCTCATGGAGGGTTGCTAGCTGCTAGAAAGAATGTCTGAGGATGTTCGTGGATCTTGTCAGTTATACACAAGCCAGTGAAGAGATCTTTTTGCAGCATCATGCTGCGAGATCTCTGCTTCAAGCTCATTCTGAGGCGGCTATAGGGGCTAGATGAGGCTAGCGACTAGAGTTTGGAGCGCAAAATGTGTCACATTTTTTGAAGGTGTTGGAAGCGCAGCTGGATGCAGTTGGGGGTGTTGTCTTTTTCACGTCCCTCTGACGCTTGTTGACAGGAGCGTCTCACCAATTTGTTGGGAAGACACGAGAGGCAGTTGGAGGCGCCTTTCTCCGCTTTGTCTCCGCTGCCTATTTTCCAGATCCGCCTGCGGGCGGTGCCGCTTTGGACGTTATGGATTTTTGGAAACGGGCATGAGCAGCTTCTTGCAACATGACGCTGAAGCTTCTATATTGGGTCCGTTAACTTTCAGCTTCTGTTTCCACTAGGGCTCACCAGGGTCAACTTCTTGTTTTTTTTAGTATCGCCCCCTTCGACCACTCGTCCAACGACCCGGTCATATGTGCTTCAAGACTGCCAATCCCGCTCGCTCGCGGCGAGTTCGGACCGCGACGACGAAGGCCTTCCAGAGTGAGGCGCAGGCCCTGAAGGGGCAGCGCAGAGAAGTGGAGGCCGAGCGTTTTTGACTTCGGGGAGGGTTGGGACTGAATCGATTGGGCCTTGGGAGACGCCAGGGCCATTTGGAAAGAGACAAATTCACACACTTTCTCAAGGTCTGGAGAAGGGTGTTTCGGATGGTGTTCTCTTGGCCGGTTCAGTTGGAAGTCAGAGGTGGGAGGTCGTGCTTGGAGGGTCACCGGAAAGATGAGGGAAGTCAGATACAAAAGAGGTCTCACCGTGAAAGACAGATGGACCATGGTGAGGCTTGTGCAAGACCGTGTCGAAAAGGCGAACCTCAGGTTATTCTAATTGTTACTAGTAAGGCACTTGTTCCTAGCTTCTTGTTTCTACTAGCGATGCACCCGTTCCTGTTGATTGCCTTTTCAACTTGCAGCTTCTGGCTTGACTTTTCAACCAGGCCACGCGCAGGCAGCTGGATGTCAAGGCTTGATCGTTCCTGCAGTGATCCGGTCTCCGGCCAAACGAATAAGCCACTGTTTTCTAGCAGGAAATGGGGTGCCATTTGGGCTGTCACAAGATTCAAGCCAACCAAAACTTCGAAAACAGCAGGAACACCCCAAAAGGCAATGGGAGGAATTTTGGAGAGTCTTTGGATTCATGTCATCAAAGAGGTGTCTACCTTCTTGTGCGAGGGATTCGGAAAAGAGAAGATCCGAGGGGACCTGTTGCAAAGAACATCATTGCAAATTCAAACCACCACCCTGTGTGCTTCATTTAGCTCAGGGTGAACCATATTCGGGACCAAAGGGACATCCCACACCGTCCCCTTGTTCAGAGAGAATGTCATCCTTCGTGATCCTTCTCGATTCTTAATTTATGAATCTCCATGAAGAGAGAACCTCGTTTTCTGCACGGAGGAATATTGACTTATATGTTTTGGGTCCCCGCTTGCCGCTTACTGTTCGAAATGACGTGCCACGTGGCCATTCCAGCTTCTGAACGCGGGGTGCACGGCGTGAGCAGAACAATCCGAGCTTGTCAAACGCTTTTTTGGCTGCGTGGGAAGCCATGGGAAGTGAGGAGATGCTTGGGGCGCTGATACGGCGTGGGAGGAAGATTAAACTAAATAATGGTGTTGATTTGTTTGGTTTTGGAGATGAGTTGCTCAGTGCTTGCATGGTTTTGCAGGGCACCCAGGAGGCTGTCGTCACATAGTCTAGTCACCGTTGATTAGGCTTTTCGTGGAGCTCTGCACTGCAAAAACGTGAGGCAGTAGTAAATGGTCCCTCTAGTCAGGAAGCGGTCGTTGGGTCCGCTTTTGCAAAAGCAGGAGGATCCCTAGCAAAAGGTTATCCCGGCAAGAGATTCCAAAACAGTGTTCAGAAGAGTGGTACTGTAGTGAGAGCCCAGAGGGAACCCCATTTTCTGTGTTTCTTTTTCAACGTGTTTTGGGATTTTTTTCCAGTCTTCGAGGAAGGAAGGAAGGAAGGAAGGAAGGAAAGAAGGAAGGAAGCAAGCAAGGAAGCAAGGAAGCAAGGAAGCAAGGAAGCAAGGAAG